AAAGAAGAAAGAAAAGGAAAGAAGAAAAAGAAAAAAGGAAGGAAGGAAGGAAGGGTTTTTTTTGACCCGCAAGGCTCCATCTTCCCATTTACTGGGCAACTGAGATGAACTGCAAAAAGGAGAAATTGATTGCATTGACACTCAATGCTCTGAGAAAAAAGACAGTTATCTTCATACAAATGTCCTGGACTTCTTCAGCCCTTCTCAGTTCAGTCACACCCAAAATGCCCTTAGAATGCCAACATTGACAGGACCCACTGAAAAGGCCTGGGGCTAAAGAGCTGTTGCCCCCGTCTCGAATGGTATGACTGTTGTGAGTTTTAAATTATATATTGTTATGCTTGCTGTTTTTTTTTTAATTCTTTATTTGTACCCCTTCCCTGACTTGGATTGTGAGCTGCCCTGAGTCCCCTTCGGGGAAAAGGGTGGCATATAAATGAAATAAATTCAATTCAAATCATTGGATCTGTGTGTTGTTGTTTTTTTACTACAATGACAGATGTGTAGAATTTTTTTTTAGTTTTACTGTGCACGGTTTGATAATATGCAGAAGTGGATAATAAGGCTGACCTATAATTTGAATTCTTCACATTTCAAGATGCAACAACTTTAAATATGGCTTTTTTATTTCTTTCAGTGCCTTTCACTGAATAAAAGAAAATCAAAACATTTGCCATTTTATGTATCTGATTTGGAGGCTGATTATTTTGCTTTTAAGACTGCTTTGCAATTTGGCTTCATCTTTGATCAGGGAATCAAATGAATCTGTTTATAGGTTTTCCCACAATTTTTCACTTTTGCAATCCTTAGCAAAAAAAAAAAAAGTAGGCAATCTTTGGGACTAACGGACACATTTTGAAAGCACGTTATAGATGTTTCATAAGGACCTTATTGGATGAATATAAAATGGCTGACATTAGGCTGCATTCGGAGAGAAACAGGGATAAAAAACATCCTTTTCCCAGTATTGTGGAAGTTTTTTTAAACCACCGCCACTTCTAGTCACAGATCACTTTCAGGAAGCTAGCATCTTGTTTTCCAATTCATGTTTGTCTTTTCAGATAATTAAGGAAATTTGAAAAGACGGCAAGGGGAGGGGGTAGAATCTGATTCAACATCCCTGGATCCTGCTCTGCCTATTCTTGCTTAAAATCATTCCATCCAGTTTGCATATCCATCTATTTGCAACATTTTCTATAAATACTGTAAGGATTTCTTTGAATATTTCCCCCAATATCTGATTTTTTCAATAATTGTATTTTTACTAAGACATATCATACAAGTAGCTGTTCTTCATTCATAAATTTCCCCCCGATTAATATACATTTTATATACATTTTCCTATTTTATTATATTTGTATATTTAAGGGAAATGGGAGGTTTAGAAATAGGATAGGATATAGAGAGATACAGAGAAAGAAAGAAGAATAAATGATAAATAAAGTGGTTTGTGCAGAAAATTTGGCATTACATAATTTTGAGACAAATGCCAAAAGACAACTGTGCATAGTTCACATTTTGATGCCAGAAGTGTACATTCTATATATTTTAA